AAGTTATTACGATTCATGAGTAGTCATCTAATAATCTGTGTAATCATAAATAATCTGAAAAACGTATTTATTGAGTAGAGAATTCACAGAGAATCTTGGTTACACTATATTGTCCCTGTATATAATAGAACTAGTTATTTGTAACTTATTAATTTTCATGATTTCTACCAGAGAAATTCTTTTATCTTTTCTATCTCTACTATAAATGCTTCATATACCAAATGCTACGTGTGATGTATATTATTCATAATAAAATCTAAAATCAGAAAAATTAAAGAAAAAATTTAACAATAAAGTTTTTTTTATCTAACATAGTTATTTAAGAGGATAGTTTTTTTCTGATTATCTCTTATGAGAAAGCAATTGTATCTACACAATAACGTTATTTAAAATTCATTTAAAAGGAAAACGGATGTTAGTTTTGAATGAATATTTTAATCGATTCAAGCTTCATGAAATAAAATTTATTTAAAATTATTGAAGCATATAAAACATCTTCAAATATGAATTATTTTAATTTGTCGAGGAAGATAAATCATATTCAAATTTGCGATTTGTGAATGTATAAAAACAATAAAAATATTTTATCACTATTTCCATCAGACCTAATTCTTTGAATCCTCTTTAGCTTTTTCCGTTTCTTCTTGGGTTTTTTCTGTCTTTTGTTCACTTTTAGGTATCTCTTCGTTGACATCTGCTGATACCTCTTCAACTACGTTATATTCGTTGGAAATTGTTTCAAGAATTTCGTCTAATAGAGAAGATGCACCAATTCTGAAACGATTACTTGTCAACCAATCTTTTCCTAATTCTTCTTTAATCAGGACCATCCATTCTAGAGCTTGAGCCGCGGTCTTAATGCCTCCAGCAGGTTTAAAGCCAATCTAATTAAAAATAAAAGATGCAATACAGAACTCGATTATTACAGAGACTATTAAATTACCATACCTTGAAATTGGTTAGTCTTTCGTATTCCTTTATCGCTCTACACATAACAATTCCTTCTTGCAATGTCACATTCTTATCCTCTTTCCCTGTAGATGTCTTAATAAAATTAGCGCCAGCAAATAAAGCTACCATAGATGCTTTGTACACCTCTTTCAAATTAAGTAAATCTCCTGTTGATATTATGACTTTCAGACATATTGATTCTTTCTCGTTGCAAATTGTACGAATAGCCGATAACTCTTCGAACAATTTTAACCATTCATGATTTAAGACTAATGATCGATCGATCACAACATCTATTTCCTGTGCTCCATATTCTATGGCACAGCGCACTTCTTGTAATCGAGTCTCTAATGGATATTGTCCAGAAGGAAATCCCGCTGCCACTAATATAAAGGTTACATATATTAAATATTTTTATATTTACATCCAATCACAAAAAAATGTTTTATTTTTTACCACTTGCAACTTTCACATCTGTCTTCTTTAATTTCTTTAATGCCTTAACTGCATCTTTCACTCTGGATGGATAAACACAAATGGCAGCTGTATGAAGTGGTTTCTTCCATTCAAATGGCAACTTATCTGTAGGATTCACAGCCTGTAACATTAATTATCGATCAGTTATTCACATTAAAGAATGACTTTGTTCATATAATTCACTTCACATAATTTCACACAATTTACTTTTTTACATAATTCTTCTATGTTGCTGCTTGTATCGGAACCAGTCAAGGTAGTTAAATCGATGAAAGTTATCGCCTTTAATAACCAAGCCACTTTATTGTCTCCTTTTATTGTAGTTGCTAAAAATTCTATTTGTCGTACACTTTTATTTACTGCTGGCTCATTAATATATACCTCCAAGAATTTTAGCCATGCTGAAAAATAAAATTTAAATATAAGGAACATATAAATGTATATATATGTACCTATAAGAATACATAAATATAAAGAACAAATGTTCTTATGAAATGATACGAGAGATTAGAATTATCATATTAATTGCTTACCTTGGATCGAATCGGTCATTTGAAAGACTACTGGATTATTAGCCATGATTACAGAAAAAAAACTTGAGTTAAATTTATATGAAAATTATTATAAGTTATCAAATCGTGTAATTATCATATACAATGTCCAGAACGTCTGGGTCGATCGTCAAACTGTTTATGCGAAATAAAGCAGTTATGTATTTTCAATTACAAATGATAAGGATGATAGACAAAGATAAACACTCACATGTATATAAATATGTTTACATAAGATACACCGTTGTACAAATACAAAATTTCTTTGTCTTTTCTTCATCTGCTAATTCTTTAGAAAAACATGAATTTATTATTTACTTTTATTAGAAATTAAAATTTTTCGAGGAAACACAAAGTAAGATATAAATTTCTCTGTAACACAAGAAAGGAAGAGTAAATATGCATGTTGTGTACACTACAAGTGGACTGAGCCTGTGGATAATTAGAATATTGATATAACCGATTGTCGATGATTACATGTATATAAGATCGCTGTCACAGTAAGATGTGATATGTACAGAATCAATGATACTCGAAATTATTATAATGAGCAGAGAAGAACAATCAATCAACAAATTATCAGTGCAAAATTTTATGTAATTAAGACTTCAGCGTATGTACATATAGATACAAATATACATTTGTAAGGTTCGGCAATCGGCACATGATTTCATGCTCATAAATAATATAAATAATTTAATGTTAGAGGTCAAAATATTAGTCCTAAGAAAATAATTTACGAAATAAAATACTGAAAAAGGAGCGCGAAAGTTGCGCATCAAGCGAAACACGCGCACCTGACGAAAACTAAGTAACTTTGCCCGAGAGATCGTCTCATACGAGTACATCATTAATACTAACAACACATTGTCTTAAATAAATGAATTCGTACAGCTACATATAAATCTATTTATGCTAGTTTTGAAATTATCATTATCTATGATGCTCCCACTGTTCCCAATACTGTGAGGTCTGCATCTCGGCAAGACGTGAGACGGTACGATCGAATGCGAAGATTTCTTCCTCTCCAGTGAAAATGTTGGCCTTGTGATCCTCCTGAGAACAAAATTAACACAATTAGATTGATTTCACTTATGAAAAATTTGCATTATCTAAAATTAATATGTACCGAGCCATGCGAAATCTTTAAATCGTCCATCAGCATTCTTTTCTCGTCAGTGTATTCAGACTCGTGTTCCGATAAAAATAATTGAGTGTGTGGTACAGCCGCCGACATAACTACCCGTACCTATATAATTTGTTATAAATTTTCATTATTTATATTGGTTTATATTGTATTAACCCTGTTGTAGTTAGGGTTCTTATTGTAGTTCTATCAATTATTTTTTAGTAAAATTCTTTGTATCAATAATCGATTTTGAATGGATTAATGTCTCAAATTGCAAATGTTACAGCACATAACTTAGGCATAAAAAGCTAAGCTAATAAATTCTTACCCTATTATCATATAATGTATCAATAAGAGTAATAAATCGTCTGGCTTGAGACTTGAGTCGTAGATTCAACTGAGGTACGTCCCTTATTATGACTGTATGAAATATTTGACTTAACTGCAAATAATCGCTCGCTCCAAGAGGCTGCGCAGAAAGAACAGTCATATTACATATAATTTTAATTAACATCTACAACGTGACTATAAACGTTTTCACGCAGGACATCTTACTCTGTCACACAATTCTTCAAACGTGGAATCCAACACCTGCCCGCAGGTTTTCCGAAAAGTGACATTGCGTCCTCTTATAGAAAGCGTACGAGGTCGTATTATATCATTCTCCATGGAACACAGATATTTGAAGATCTTATCTACATCGTTCGTCGCATCCTTGCCTTTTCTTGTGTAATTCACAGCTCGTTAGACGACAGCAGTAAATAATTGTCATAAATTGTACGCATGTCTACATACATGAAGTATATCTTCTTACTTCCGGATTCTGACTTCAATCTATAATCTATCCCCGAATCTAAGTTGCTAACTAAGCAATGATCCTTTAGCACTTTTATAAATGGTACAAAATTTCCTCTCTGCAGTCCGTTTTTGTACAAATCATCCGGCGATCTGTTACTAGTCGCGACTACTATTACACCGTTATCGAAAAGCTCTGTGAACAGTCGTTTCAATATCATCGCATCTGCAATGTCTGTCACCTACAATATATCTATTTTCATTGATCTTTTATTTACAATTATATCTTACAAGTAATATTTCTTTTTAGAAAAATTATATGAATATATTAACCTGAAATTCATCGAAGCATAAGAGCCAAGTCTCCTCCGCAATGCCAGAGGCGACTGGAGGTATTGGATCAAAAGGCTGTAACTTAGTGCTAGTAACATCTCGAATAATGGTTTTCTTCACCTCATGCACCCTGCTATGCACATCCAGCATAAAAGAATGAAAGTGAACTCTTTTTTATTTTTAATCTGAAACATTTTTATTTTGAAGATACATTATATATCATAAAAAAAAATTCTTTTCTATTTTGTACTATACATAGAAAGCCATAATTTATCTCAATCCAGTTATTTGTTTATTCTGAACAATCCATTTTTATTTGATCACTTATTTTAACATGTTTGTTTCAGATTTAATCTTTCAAAAATCTTTACCATATTTCATCATGCAATATCTTTTATTTCAATAATTGTTGACTCAGCTAGGAAAAACATATTGTAATAACATATTGTAATAAAAATAAAAAGATTGAGATATTTAAACTAGCTTTTTATGCATAGTGCTTACCCAAACAACAACCAGAGAGATACCTGACAACAATTGTAAAATAGGTCCATCAACATTGTTTTACCTCCACCCACTGCTCCATAAATATATAACCCTTTTGGCGCATCCCTCTTCTTGCCACCAAACCATTTTTCCAGTAGATTTAATTGTTGTGGTTTATAATCATAGACTTCTTGGTAAATTCTTTGCAAGGTTTGTGCTACTTTTATCTGATGTGGATCATTTGCCAGCTCACCTCTCGCTATTCTTTGTTTTAGAACACTAACTGGTCCACCATTCAGGCTTATATCTATATCGTGAGCATAGCCACATCTTTGAATACAGATCACAGGTCGAACACGTGTCAGCATATGACAGAGATAATTTGCGCTGACGCACTTCTTCGCGAGGTGATAAGACATAATTGCAAAGATATTACCTGGGAAAAACAATCATTTATTAAGAATCAGAATTCATAAGTCATTTAGATGATTCTATGATTCAAGATTGAATATATGATATAGATAGAATAATTTGGATCAAACTCCGGTTAATTATTTAATCGGCATTTAATTAATTAAAAATCACTGAAAACAGGATATCATTATCTCTGTTCGAATTTTTATCCATATATTAAAATTATGAAATTCTAACAGCAATTCTATCTACGTTAAGAATAGATATTACTCAATAAGCTAATCATCATTAAGTTGAATGGAGTTTGATCGAAGTCATTCATAGTTGTAAAAATATAGATGGAATCATCTTCCCGCAGGCACTTTTAGCGGATTATTATCGGGCTATTAATGGTGCAGGTGTGATAACCTTGACACACGCATACAGGAAAAAAAGATGGCATGTGTCCCAAATTGAACGTTCACTCACGTGGGCAGTCGGAGAAACGTGTCTCGATCTTGCGATGTGTGAGAATGCGACGGGATCTCAGATTCCTAAATCACAGTTTAAAGGAGGAAAGGCCCGCTTTCCTCCGTTTGATGGACTGTCAGTTCAAACCATATGTGCAGATCGTCCCGCGCACCTGTCACGCGCCGCCGACGTCGCCTCAGTCCGCATTCGACGAGAACCTCTTTTGAGTGCCTCTTTTGAAAGACTCCGTTCATCGCGCGTTGGCGTGACGCATGGCGAGAACCGATCCAAAATCACCGCGCAAAATAACTATATGCCACCTACTGACCAATCCGCATTGACATCGTCACTCTCGCGCTCGAACTAAATCGCAATCATTTCAATCCCATGTAATCGTAAATCGTCAAAATATTTCTGAGACTTTCTTTCTTTTTTTTTTAAGTATTTACTCATATAGCACAGACCTCCAAGGAATGTTCTAAAAATCAATCTAATCAGAGAACGTTCTACAGACAAGTCTTAAGGATGTCCCAAGATTTGCCTTGAAACATGCTATAAGTATGGATGTGTATGAGTAATGATTACATAGATTTTATTAATATAAACAATATAATCAAGAAAATATTTAACACGTTATATATTATAAATATTGTATATATGTATACAATGTTGTATATATACAATGTGGAGTTCTTACAATATATATAAAAAACATTGAGTCTAATATATTTTTATCTACGCTGCATTTACACACAGTTGTCTTTCTCTTCCTTCCTTTTTTCTGTCTTTTTGTCTCGATTTTATAAAGATATTTTCGTTGGAAGATCAGGAATGTGGATAAGAAATGCGAGATCGATAGCCTTACAATATTTAACTCATGCAATTCCATATTTCGTATTACAAGAAAATCATTTTCCCGTGTAACATAAAATAAAGGATCCTGCTTGAGTTAACATATTTTACATATTTACTTAGTCGTTATGATAAAACTTTGGATAAAGCGAGGAAGTGTATACTGGTAATCTTCGTTTGTCAGGACTGAGTGCTTCTCTAGAAGAATAATAACGTCTTTCAATAACTTTATCAAAGAATCTACTGAGCTTCACAGATGAACTCGAGCCTGCTGCTAAAGATCTTATCTGACGACAATCCTGTTAAAATAAAATATGTCAAGTGTGTTCCTGGATAATTTATCGGACGAGTGATAATTTACCAAAAATATTTCGTCGGCACCACATTCCTCCGCAATGGTCGCTGAGCGTCTGTGTATGTTGGATTTTACAGAATTAGATTCAGAGGTCAGGTCGAGCTTCGTACCAATGACTAGAATTGGAATCTAAAGATAAATGTTAAAGTAGTATGCTAAGTGCCTAGTATGTTAACATTTTTTGCTAACATTGTATTACAATTAACAGCTTGAAAAATTTTCCATTACCTGCGTTGAGCCCACAAATTTCTCAGGATCAAAGTCCTCGAATGACTTGGACTTTGAAGAGATTCCATCCTTACTTAAAACCTCCTCCAGCCATTTCTGCAGATTCTGCTGTGATTTACGATTTGTTAAGTCGTGGACTAATATTATGCCTATTTATGAACGACATATATTTGCAATCACTGTCACATTCTGTCATGATTACGCGTCTATATGTCAAATAAATATAAACATATTTAACTGTTATAAAATATTCATATACCATTTGTGGGATTGTAAAATACAGATCTTGTATTTTTATGATTTTGACTGCCACCAACATCCCAAAGCTCGACGAAATATCTTCTCTGATTCGGCGTACCTTCTTTATAGTCATGCAGCTTTACTTCCACTGAGCAACCTATTGTCCAAGAAGGATTGCAAATAGGTTGTTGTTGACATATTAAGTGAGTCAGCGATGTTTTACCAACACCTATGATGATGGAGATATTTACTATTATCATACTACATCATACATTATCTTATATCTTTCTTATAATGATAGTTAACAATGTTTATTATCATATAATAAGTCTGTCTTTTATTATTGCATTAGATCACATTTTCTTTTTTGCCTTCACCAAATTTGGAATATATATCTATTTAATTTTAAATACAAAATTAAATACAAATTTTATATACTAGTTCAACAAGAAACAAATTTAATTGTGAATAATTATACATAATGTAAATATTTGAAAATTATAAATTCTCTAAGATATTAATAGAAAGATTAAAAAAACCTTAAAAAGTACATATCGTGGAGAGATATTTTTTATAATAATTAAAATTCTGCTCGAGTTATTTGAACAAGTAAAATATGACATTTAAGACCGGTTGTTCCTTTACAATTTTAAAATTTATCTAATGGATAAAGTTATGAGTAAGAAAAAGAGAATGCAAAAGAGTGAGAGTAAGCGGAGATTTAAGATAAAACAACCCTTACACTTATGTTTTAGAAAAAAATATTATATAAAAACTATTAAAAACAAAAATATTTCAAACAAAAAAAATATTAAAAACATTAAATATTTCTTTCATCTTTACCTGAGTCGCCTACCACGATAATTTTAACTTTATCGATTGCTGCCATTGATAAATTTTATCAAATCACGTGTTCTTTATGCGAATTATGTGAGAGAGTTTTTGGATTATTTGACAGCCAGTCGTTCAACAATAGTGAATTATTAAGAAATAGCTACATTCTGACATTGGGTTTGTTCTTTTAGCCTCTATCACAAAACTTGTAGCCAGTGATGTCAATCGAATCACATTTGCAATGTGCTAAGATGCGTTCGAATATTCACTGTCAGTAATGGAAATATATAGTTCATGTCACATATATTATAGATTTTCAGTATTGGCAGTGAACGGAATGGCATGTGATCGGAACGCAATCACATGTGTGAAAGCGAAAGGTGACTATACATCACACACACAACACATGATCATTGCAGCGATTACAGCGCCAAGAGACTGCACCTCATCGGGCAGTGTAGCGGTTTGTGGGATTTTCCCTTGGCTACATACTTCTCGATATTTTACTATAAAATATCTCTTTCAAGACATGCGTTTAATTTTTAGGAGGAAGATGAAGATATACTTACAAAGAAAGTTCTATACGTACAGCAATTGTATTATTGCAGAGTGTGATATGTGTAATTATAATAAAGTTCATTCGATATGAAACTATAAGCCTAGCATGTGTGAGCGGATAATAACATTTTAATAATAACGATAATTGACATTATTAATAGAGTTATTATTACCCAGCAATAATATCGATTGTTCAAAAGCTATTTTAATTGCCTAAAACATGAATGCTGAGGAAAGACTTGTCACTGAGGTACCGAGTAGCTTGAAGCAACTGGCACGTCTTGTCGTACGTGGATTTTACACGATAGAGGATGCTTTAATTGTGGACATGTTGGTCAGGAATCCATGTAAGCAATTAAAAACCAATGTAGAAATTGTTATAATAAAAAGAATTTTATAAAAAAAACTTTCAGGTATGAAAGAAGATGACATTTGTGAACTACTCAAATTTGAACGCAAAATGTTGAGAGCTAGGATATCTACATTGCGGAATGATAAGTTTATCCAAGTGAGATTGAAGATGGAAACAGGATCAGATGGCAAAGCACAGAAAGTCAACTATTATTTTATCAATTATAAAGTATATATTTTTAATGATTGTGATCTTTTCTAGATCTTTTCTTGACATAAAATACAAAAAAACAAATAACAAACATATATTTTAGACGTTCGTTAATGTAGTGAAATATAAACTTGATTTAATGAGGAAGAGAATGGAAACTGAAGAAAGAGATGCAACTAGTAGGGCTAGTTTTAAGTGTCCAAGTTGTTTAAAGACATTTACTGATCTTGAAGTAAGCATGGCAATATATGGTAATATACAAATAATAAAATCTTAAGAATTGAATTAAAGAATCAAACAATTTTTCTTTTGTTTTATACTATATAACATTCAATTGATATAATTGAAGTAATATGATAATATATGATGTTGTAATATTAATTTGAAGATGATAATACAGATAAACTTTTATTAAATTCTTGCATAGGCAGATCAACTTTTTGACATGAGAACCGGCGAATTTAGATGTACATATTGTCGGGAGATAGTGGAAGAAGATCAATCAGCTCTTCCAAAGAAGGATTCCAGATTATTATTAGCAAAGTTCAATGAACAATTAGAGCCGCTCTATATATTATTGAGGGAAGTGGAAGGAATCAAATTGGCACCTGAAATATTGGAACCAGAGCCTGTTGATATTAACACAATTCGAGGGTATGTGTTTGTAATAATTTGTTTAGGCATTAAAAATGTTTTATTTTATTAAAATAATTATGTTCAATAGCATTGACTCAAGAAAACCAAGTAGTCTCAGAGCACCTAGCGAACAATGGTCGGGTGAGGCTACTAGAATGTCAGGCTTTATGGTAGAGGATACCAGAGTGGACGTTACTATTGGAGACGAGTCTCCTGATGACAATGCGGCGAATCATAGAAAGGAGAGACCCATATGGATGATGGAAAGCACAGTTATCAATGCCGATGGTTCACAGGTATTTCTGTTGCTCTATCATTTCTGTTTTTTATTCTGAATTCTTAATTTATAAATATCTTGTAGCCTGATGGTGTGAATGCACAAGACAGTATCTTAGATAAGGCCGCAGCCACTGCCACAAATACAACTACGACGAATAATAAACAGGGTGAAGACATTATGTCAGTGTTGTTGGCTCATGAGAAGAAGGGCAGCACCAATTCTGCGACATCTATCAAAGCAGCGCTTCCACAGGAATCCAGTGATAGTAGCGATAACGAAGAAGATGCGGAAATGCAGGCGATTGATACCGGTAAGAAAAATTCATTTAGATATCAGGACATTCAATCGTCTGAACATAAAAAGAATAATGTAAAAACATTTGAAATGATGAGAAATGATGAAATAAGATATAATCAGATGATCATTAATTCATACTTTCTTGAATTTAAATCAATTTATAGGTGAGGTGGAGGCAATGGACTCCGAAGATGATGAACTTGTACCAACTGTCAGTGTCGGTGGTAAAACCGTCGCGATCACCGATGTTAATGACACTCTGATTGCGGAAATGACACCCATAGAGAAGGAAGCTTATATCCAAACGTATCAGGAATATTACTCGCATATGTACGACTAGAAGAACAATGAGAGTCTTCACAATGCTCTGCATAAGACTGATATTGATTTGGTATCGTTGTTCTCTGTAATATTTTGTATAGCTACTAAATATATATAATTTTCGATAATGATGCGATAATCTTTCATAGCAACGTAGCAATCCTGACGGAGTTTGCACGTTCCTTATACTGACAAAATGCAACAATATATTTAATATACTGTATATGTAAAGCAGTATATTTAATATAATATAGCAGATGTAATTAGTATATATTTGAAAAATTAACTAGTTTCAAAAAAGGCAAAAATACGTTTTTATAGTTTCATATGTATTTTCTAATATAATTGTAACTGAACAGTATTGTCAATCAACAGTTTCGTCAATCAACATTATTAATAAATAAACAATTGAATGTGTGAAGTACCATAAATAAGAAATTAATTAGGACAAATAATATACCATGTCACTTCTGGTAAGACGGGAAATTTTTAAACTTAAATACAAATTATTAAGCTTACTTGATATTCTTTTTTTTTATTTGTCTCGTAGCGAATTTCTGTCCAACCACCACCATTGCACAGAAATTCCGAGACAACTTTTTTATATTATTTTTTCGCTTTTTTTATATTTTTTCATTATTTTTTTCTTCGGTAACAGTTTCATAATATTATAATATTAATTTTAATAATATTTTTTTTATCTACATTCAGTTAACACAGTCCATTCACTAAAAATGACATCAAAAGAATCCAAAGAGACTTGTAATTTTAAATGAATTTATATGGATACTTGAAATTTTCATATAATTTTGTTTTCAATCACATTATATATATATATATATATATATATATATATACACACACACACACACACACAACTAATTATTTGTTTTAGATTTAGTATTTAATATTTCTGAAAATAAAATATGTATAGCTTTAAACGTAAATAATTTTCTATGAGCAGAAAGCTTAAGATTCTTTTGAAGTAATTGGTCGCAAGCGTCGATCTGTTTCTCTTTTTCTCTCTTTCTCTGTGATTTATTCTGGTTCGTTTAAGCGCAAACGAGCAAAATCTTCGAATATAATGTTATCATCATCGTCATTGGCGTAGCAAGAGTTCTCGTACCGTGCCCTATCAATGCTTTTGCTCTTCTTCAATATGGCATTTTCTCTTTCAATGACACCTGCATAAAAATAAGGAGAAACGTTTGAACAAATTTAAATTGGAAATTGAAATATTTTATATAAATACTGAATTGGATCTTTCGACTAAAAAAGCAGGTAAAATTTTTTATTTTAAAATATTTGTTTATGAGACAATAAATACAACTCCTAGACATATTGAGATACTTTAAGCGACGTACCAGGAGCTGGATGCATCAATTTGAATGGAACATCAGTGATTAGCTCGCCACCCAGAGTACCGCAATTCAACTTGACTCGGATCGAATAAGAGATCACGATACCTAAAGCTTCAGTCGGGCACTTGCCCTCGGCTACCAAAGTAGAGGATGCCAAATTTACGTCATCATCCTGAATCGAATGATCAAATGATATAGATTTCCTCATTATTATTAATATATTAATATATTGTTATAAATAAATGCTAATATAATATAAATTTGGTAAAGTCTGTTATATAATCTTTTATATATATTAATAGTATAGCGTATCGTCGTGAAAAAAGTCAAAAAGAGTCAGAAATTAATAAGATAATTATGTTTAATCATTTCAAATTCGTTACACACTTTAAGATGCCCGTCGAGAGCGATGCCACGTCGATCCTTATTGCTGCTGGCCAATGGCACAAGATAAAATTGTTTCGTGAAGGATGCACCCGGTGTGATCGGGCAACCTTCGCGAGTCTCCAAACTAGCTACGTGTCGCGAAAATTGAGAGTTAACCATGGTCACTTCGCAATGTTGAACCACATATATCTGCGAAGAAAAAGAAACAAGCGGTAGAATGTAAAAAGCAGACATCTAGTTCGATTTAATTTTAGAATATACCTTGATGTTCTTCACTGCCTTTCGTGAATTATTCGTAACTGTAACGTTTGCTGCAATTTTCTCGCCATGATAATAGATCTCTCTGTCTAATGTGACTTCCAGATTCAATTTGCCCTGAGAGAAGGTAAATCCCTTGGAAACCAAAGAACTGGGAAGTCGGCGACCTCGCGACGGCGGAGCATACTGCAATTTCTTGATAGCTAACGATACAGAAGATCTTTTGTGTCCCTGATAAAATAAAAACCAGATTTTTTGCAGGCGATCTGTTTTAAAATTTTACATATATATTACTGTATATCAAATCACTTTTACATTGTACATCATTTTTTTATATATTCTTATATCTTCTTTTTATTTTGATACCTTATCTTCTTCGTTTTCTCCAACAAATATCTTCACGGCGTATTCGACTCCTAGAGGTTTCCCTTGATCATCGTCACCGGGTTGGAGAGTAACCGAGCAAGGAGCCGTCTGCGGGAAATGAAATGTGAAAGGATACGCGTTCGAACCCAGGCGCTTCAGTAAGCGATCCTGAATTGATGTAGTTTCTTGTTTCTCCTTCTTTTGTGGTATTATCTGATCGCGGCACAATATCAGCTCTTTGCTGAACTTGACTCCCATAACTTCGTCCTCTTCGCGGCCATATCGGTAGGTCGTTGATACCTAAATATAATGGCAGTAATTTATTAATAGAAAATGGAATCATCTGAAAACATTTTCGTAAGGACATGATGGATGTCTTTCGTCTTTGCAATTTTACTCACCTGACCAAAGACCTTGCGACCCTGAAGGTAATCATTCTCCACAACGACAACGCCGTCAATGGGATCAATATGATTCAGATGATCGATAAAATCTCTCTTGCCCAGATATACTGTGATTTTGCCTGAGTAAGATATTGTGTTATAATTAAAGAAGTGGTTCAAGGAAGATAAAATTTTGAAGAAGATAGATAAGAATCGAATAAACTCACCATTAGGAGTGGTCTTCTTGAATACCTTAACGGCTACAACGAAGACTAAAAACAATAGAGGGAACATCTGTTGTTTTTTCTTTTTCTTTAAATCAATCTTTAAACGAATGAGTGATTTAGCAGAGAAATTTGTTTCCCGCCCAGAAGTGACACGTCTCCAACACCTGATCTGGATCTTCATATAGTCTTGCCAGGGCTTCCCTTTCCTCGAAGCCATATTACTAACGAAGTGCTGCTAATGGAATTACTTCGTTATAAAACTGATTTAAGAGGATTGCGAGTTGTGTCACAAAGAAAATCGTCGCGATTTTCAATTATCAATAAGTCACATATGTATTAAACAATACTATTAACGTTGCTTAAATGAAGTATTCGCGTGTGCACTTCTTCACAAATTAATATTCTTGTGCAAAGCATGAAGTGAACTGTTCGCAATAATTTGTGTAATATTATATAAAAAATATAATTTCAGTGAAATGGAAATAAGTAGATTCTCACACGTTTTCAGTCTTAAGTTTATTTCGATAAGATGTTTACACAATATAATACGGAGGTATTTTTCGTAGTTGAAATGAAATCCCCTGAATTTTTCAAATATTCGCTCGTATGTGCTTCCGCGATTTTTCTTAATGGTAAACGATATCTATCGCGAGCTTCAAGATATTACCTAACGTTAACGATTAAACCCGCTTATATTTCTTTGTAATTAATTTCTTTTTTTTCGCAATCAATAATCGATAGACGGTGATGTGACACACATACACACACACACACACACACGCGCGCGCGCGCGCGCGTGTGTGTGAACGTGAATACCATGGGCGTACGATGCTCCCAAAATCATGGTAACTAAGAGACATTTTCTTTTTTCTTTTTTTGCACAATATGAAAAAGATAGTAGTAACTCGAATGCCCCTCGAAATCGTAAAGATATCGTTCCTGAATAATCGTGACCATAGGCTTAGATCGATCGAAGATTATTTTACATTGTGCTTATAAGAACTTTCGACAAACGTTCCACTTGGTGCTCTAAATGCTTTTCTTAATACTCGGCGGAACAAAAATTTTTCACACTAGAACCGAAAAAGTGCACGCAGCTAAAAAAACTCGCAAGATCCTATCTTAATCGAGTAAAAAAGAAAGGAAGAAAAATTCGCGCACAGGATATAATCCTATAACATAATGAGAATTACTACAAACTATAAAAAATTTTTTTACGACGGCGATAACAGTAAATAATAACATAGTAATAATAATAATAATCGTGAGAAACATATCTAATAATAGGCACAGTTAAAGAGTACGGCATATAGTTATATTCATTACTCAGCACTTTTTCTTTATTACAAACTACAGAAATTCGTTGCTACCAGGGAACAGAAATGCTGTGTGTGACGAGATTTTATGAAATCTTTATTCCAAATAGTTACGTTTCACAATGCTTTCGTACAATGCCTACTATAATCTACAATATTATCCCGACACTTTTACAGCTCTCGTAACGTTTATATCTTAAATGAGATCGGTTTTTTTTCACAAGAATTTCATAAAAATAAAGAGTGAAAGAAAAATGACAACCATAATAAAAATAACAAAAAAATATTAAATTTTATCTATACCAAATGACATATGTTCCAGCCAAATGAAAAAAAATCTGATGTGAACGCATTATAATTAAATGAAACAAATTCATCATTAAATTTGATAAGTTACACTAATATATTTTTTATGTAGATTTCAATTTACATGTCGTAGAATTAATCTCTTAATTTACGCAATCATACATTGAATTAAACATCGCTCTTCGCTGAGCAATCAGGATTCGAGAAAGGCAATCCTTTTATTCGCGAATGCACATCATGTCCTGCTTCAAAATTCGCAAAATGCATCTCACACATTTGCGCCAAGATGGTTAGAGCATTGTTTGCCGTATATATTTGAGCAATGTCTAAACTGTCGTAGCGTTAAGATAAACAAACCGAAAACTTACCGAAATACTTTATGCACAATGCTTCATCTGCTTTATCTCACAATGCACAAAAACTTAAAAATTTTCATTTTATAATATCCCAAAAGAGCCAAGAGAAAAATATATTTGTGTGATAAGCTAAAACAAAATTTCTCAGCTCTTTCTTTCTCTTTTTCTCTCAGCTGGATATTAAGTCTCGCACTAATCTTGCTGTATACATATATTGTATTTTTAACCGTAATAACATTTGTACATAAGTAGAATCAGTTCCCTGATACCAGCGCACTTCTAATGTCGAACAGTACAAATATTGTTAGTCTCGAAAGTATACATGGTAGATTTTCGTAATATGTTTACAATTCGCCGCAATTACTTTCTTTCTCTCGCTCGCTCTTTCTCTCTCTCTCTCTACGAACTTACATCCCTAATCATTATTTCTTCTTCTGCTTCGTTCACATCTTTTTTAGTCCTTTTTTTTTATTAGACACTGCTGAAACCATTTATTTTTTTTCCAAAGATTCCCGAAGTCAAGCAATGCTGCAGGACCTCAGAGTAAGCAAAATTTGTCTCACACAGTAGAAATCTAAAAAAAATTTTTTTAAAAAAGAATTTAAATATTTAAGATTTTTCTATTTTGCAATTAATTCAACAGTTCATATTTTTCTCTCGGAAAAAAAAATATATTCACAAACTTACCTAATATTTTTCACAGAAACGTTTCCATATGAATAAGAATCTTTTTTTATGATAGATCTAAGAACATAAAAATCATATAATATAGAGGGTAGAGAAGGTAAAAAGCAGATGAAAGCAGATATTATTCTTAGAACAAATACTTACAACTCGGTGCAGCTGCAGACTCGAATTTTTTTTGTATCTGATCATATGTGAATTTGACAAAAGCATCATATTGTTCGGAGAGTTTTACATGTAAGATCTGATCATATTCTTGTCGGATTTGCGTTTCTTGCTCCTTAAGCATTCGTTCGCAGATCAAGCCAACCTGCAAAATTTTAACCAATTTTACAGACGAATCTGTAAAACTAGAATTTTTATAATCTTATAATAATTAACATTTATCTCTGGTAAGATAACCTCAATATAAATGAAAAATGGATTCGTGTGCATTCTCTATCAAAGAATGTAGATAATCAAAAGACCTTACCTGTCTAAATGTGAAAAGTGGTTTTTCCTTTCCGCTAGAGTTATGACTAATAGTGGTTGAAGAAGAGCCGGATGGTCCAGAAGGACTGGAAGGACCTTCCATATCTGATGAATCGCCACTATTGCTCTGAAAGTGCAATTGTTTACGTCGCTGCAATCTGCGGATTTCTTCTCTGATGTTGGCAGCCATCTTTTCTGTACAAATAAAGGTGCAAAAACATTATTTAAAAGAAAGTATATTTTCCATGTGTGTACATGTATATGTGGTGTAGGAGGAGGGGGGTGTATGGGTGTGGGTGTGTGTATGCTGTGTGTATGTTGTGTAGAATCTATATTAAATATGAAATAGAATTTTTGAAGTTTTTCAATAAAGTTTAAAAATTCATTTCTTCATTTCTTATATATTTGAAATTTCATAACTATCAACATAGTTTAATAACTAAATAAAATAACATAAAAAAGTTTATATCAGAGTTCAAATGTTATAAAAAGATTTCCTGAGAAATTTCAGATTTTTCAAGTATTTTTGTTCAATATTCTAAATAAAATTAAAAAATTGTAATTCTGAAAAATTTATTTTATTATATACGCTTTTTAATGTTTTATCATGAAGAAAAGTCACTTAATATTTGAATATTAACGCGTTGACTTGATCACTTTAAGATATTGAATTTTTTTTATAAAAACTTGTAAGTATATCAATGGATATGTATATATGATATGCATATCATAATTGTTAACTTGAATAACGGATTATCAATAGCTTGCATTATAAAAATTATCAAAAAATTTTTCTGAAAGCAAAATTTAAGTTGAAAATAAAATTTCAAAAAAATTTTTCGGAATGCAATAAAATTCTGTACTTCCTGACTTTAAATAATAAAAAAATATTCCATGAAAGTTTCAGATTATCCAGATTCTTCTAGAGAGTAGACATTTCATATATATAAAATCATATAATTACAAAATAAGTTTGTAAAATATTTGAATCTCTTGTTTGTATTATAATTCAATGTGACATTATTCAATAAATCCCTAAGTAAAGTCTTTGTTGTTCTTTTTTGTTATCTAATTAAAATAACTGTACATATAATAAAAATAAAAATTATATTTTTATAGTAAGATATTTTGTTAATATTTTTAATTGGTATTATTAAATTGATTAATTGTTAGAGAGGAGGTAGAAATGGGATATAAA